CTACAGCACTGTGTAAAGACATCATTTGACCCTAAAGCTGTAAAATGTAATAAATGTATAATAACGCTGATGATCAGGACCTTGCACTTTGTCCCTGTTGGGTAGCATCATGTCACATAAATTAGATGGTGACTGCCAGACAAGCCTTAATACTTGTTTCTAGTAGGTGGCCCTTCTTGTTGAATATCACTGTGTACATATGTTCAAGGTGTCAAAATTCAACACCAAGCCAGGGTCACACCATTCGACGCACAGTCACAAATAGTACAAATTTTATTCATGACGGTCTTTAGATTAGATTTAGATTCCCGAGGAGGATTTCATTAAAATACAGAGTGCAAATCACTAAAAATGTCCGACTTCCTTTTGGGTTTGTGGTATGGGTACAAGAAGCTTTTTTTGTTTGTCTGGTCATGATACATGTGCCTACTCATTTAATACATATCAGTAAAACGTGCTTCAGGGGCTGAGTTTAGGGGGCGCTGCCAGGCCATTTTGCCACGCCAATATGACCCATATAATCCAAAAATGTCTGCCGTTGAATTTTGTGCCGTGTTTCATGAGTTTCCAAGCAATCCTCATAGTCTTGTATTAAAACAGTATTAAAATAATCCAGTGATAGTTGTCTGTACATCCATGAGCACACTGCAAACAGAAACTGCTAATAGCTAACTAGCATTATTAAAGGTTTGCTAAATATAGTCTACAAAAAACTGGGTGACTAGCAGTACCTACCTGTAGCTGACATTATTAACAGCCCGTCTGATGTCCTGACGGCTTTAATTTATTCTGTCATATGTTAGTGTTAGCATGTTTACAATCTGTCAGATTAGCAAAAACATTTCTGACATTCTCCATTTTCACATAGAGTCAAATTTTACATTCAGTTGATGAAAAAACCCTAAAAAACTTGGATAATTCTTGATATATTCTTAAAGTTACGACACTTAAGTCCTGGATAGTAATCATCTGGTGATATCGTTATATTTAAATCTGAGTGTCGTCTGTATAATTATGATTAACTAAGCGGAAGCTCAGAGGGGACCGTGCCTTTGCTGTGTCTGCTCCTAAATTATGGAATGATCTGCCTCTGCACGTTAAACAGGCCTCTTCTCTGTCTGTTTTTAAATCCCTTCTTAAAACCCATCTCTTTCTCTGTGGCCCTTCCTGACACCTAGGATAAGATGTCGACTTTATTTACTTGATCTCTAATTTCTTATTTTGATTTGCTTTTTTATTGCTGTGGATATTATTCTCTTACTCATGTTTTATGTCTTTTCATTTTATTTGTTGTATTTTATATTGCTAATTTGTCACCTCATAGTGAGCGGTTATGTCTTTTATTTATGATCGTTTCCTATTTATTCTTCTGTACAGCACTTTCGGTCCAACCATTTGGTTGTTTTAAAGTGATTAACAAATAAAGTTGGATTGGATTGGATTGAAGTTACCTTCATGATCTCATTGCTTTCATCTCTCCACAGCATCGTCTCATTTTCGACCCAGCAGGCTATTATGCAGTTGATGGTCTAAAGCCGGATACACTGTACATGTTCTCCCTGGCAGCAAGATCTGAAATGGGTTTAGGAGTCTTTACTCAACCTATTGAGGCCAGGACCGCCCAATCCAGTAAGTACAGCCTTCAGACCTCTGATGTCACTTTGGTTCAGGTTATTTGGTCAGGATGAAAAGAAAAATATCCATTGCTTTTTAGTTCTGGTCAGTTTTATGTTTAAACTAACTTATTACAATGAACCAAGAGGAGTAAACATGAGGTCACATCAGTAAACAGGTAAGTCATTTATTGGACAGTGTTGGTGAGGTCATCCTGCATCACCAGTTGTTATATGGACACCATATAGATGACTGACAGCAGGTCATGCTGCCCTTTAATGTAGGGCTGCAGTACTCAAATGTGTGTGTATGTGTTTTTGTTACTTATTAGGGACCTTTTCTGCTCCAAACACTGACTTCAACAAGACCATAAGGGGACGAAATACAGGCCATAATGTGACAAAATGTCATTTCTGAGGTCCTGGTTAAGGTTATGGGTAAAGTGTGAATTTAGGTTAGGTCAAAGTTAGGTTATTTATTTTTTCTATGTACCAACTCACAATGTACATGTAAAGAGGTGGATGAAAAGCTTTTAGTGTGATGCATCAAAACACTTGTGAGTAGTGTCTCTAGTGGAGTGTCTAATCTTCCATTAAAGTGTAGCTTAACATAGCTCTCATGATTGTCTTGTTGCATCATAGTGATTCAAGCACATACACATTAAATAATGTGTGTAGTGGCTTTAGACTTTACTCACCTTGGCATTTACAGTATAATGATTTCAATGAATATGAACTGATACATAATTCAAGGAGAGGTTGGAGGATTTGAGACTCCTGACGTGATTGTTCTTTGTCATCTGTTTTACAAATGTAAGTAGAGATTTGCTTTTATCCAGAGCTTTGTAACTCTGACTGTCAGCTCAATAAGGGAGCAGAACCTCCTATTCTGAATCAGCCATTTGTGTGTGATATTACAACACAGTAATACTAGCTGCAGATGCACTGTGTAGCTCACAGAACTGTGTAATTGCAAATCTCAAGTGTCAAACTCTCAAAATGTAATCACTAGTGTAGCATTAATGTGTACACTTTTTTTCCACATGTCAGTCACGCTTGATTTTGCTGAACATGCAACTTAATTACAAAGTTCAAGCACCAAGGCGACATCAGAAGAAAATTCTACAGCATTTTTTTGGTCTGCCATAAAATCCATTGTTTCACCCAAGCCATAATTCATAAGCACACTGGTATTGCTTGATATTTTTATATATACATTTTTCCTGCTCTCCGTTGCCTTTGCGTAACAAATAATCTGGCATTGCACATTTTGAAAAATAGTCTAATAAAGGCACTGAGTCAATACACACAGTATATTATGATGTAAGACCAAGAAAGCACAAACAGACCGTTGCACAGAGAGACAGCTTTTATCATGACTGTCAGGTTCTTTCAAAATTATAGTTTGTCATGTAAAACATCTCATAGCGTGTGCTGTTTTGCAGGACTTTGAGTTCTACTGTTCAATCACTCTTCCCACACTGACTAATACTATTGACCACCTTTAAGTCACAGCTTGACTGCATATCTAGCATTGGATATATCTTCTCTGGCATGATATGGAATTGAACCTGCAATATTTATGACACCTCCAAGAAGGAATCTAAGCCCACTATTAACTATTTGTCTGATCTGTCAGGAGTGAAATCCCTGAACTAGCAGTCACACCACAAACAAAAGAGTTTAAAACTAGAACCTTTGATTTCCAGTTTCTCATCACTCATTTGGCAGGCAAACCCATCATGTCAATAAACTTGCCAACAGGTCTAAAGACCCTGACCACAGCTGTCACTTGCTGCTTGTCTAACTCCCTCCATCTTTTCATCCATCTGCCAATCTCTGTTATCTTTGTTTTGTTTATTTGCTGTATGTATCTGAAGTTTCTCATATTCTAATTCTTAAACCTGACAGGCCATCAGAGGAGATGTGCTACAAAAGAAGCGATCTCATCACGTTTTGTTTTCAGCAGTGGTAGGCTGTCACAAGACACGTTAGTGTTGTTTAAACGAGATAATACACCTGAATACACATGGTTATTTCAAATGTACCTCTGTGCTGCTACAAAGCAGATCTGAACCACATTTTTTTACCACCTTTACTTTTTTAAATAAATAATGATGCCAAGTTATGGAGAGATTTGTAACAGTTTATTCAGTTCAGTTTGTTCCAGGTTTTATTTATAACCTGTAAAAGTTCCAGTTGGGTGACTTATATATAACAAGACGTTGTGTGCATTATCACTGAGGCATCGATCCGATGTATTAAAGATACATTTGAAGCAACTGCAAATGCAATACAATACGATTCACTCCTTTTCTAAGGCAGTGCAATTTGACATGATTTAATTCAACACACTTGTGTGATTGTTTGATGATATGCTGATGGTCTTGAGCCCAAAAATCTATAGAAGAGCTTTAAATGTTCAAGAAAACCAACCTGTTTTAATCCAAGGCTGTTGTTTCAGATAGTGATGAAAAGATGGGTTCGTTTTCCTCTAAATACATACAACTTCCCTGTGAGATCATGAGTGGCAGTTTCAGTCCCAGAGATATTACCTGATCCTTCAATCAATGCAGTCTGCCCTGTTTCTCAGCATGACACCACTTTGTTTTTATCCCAGTAATATCTTATTTTCCTTGTGGGGTATCATTCTTTTTCTGTCCAAATCTTGATTCCTTTCTCTCACAGACACCCACCTCTGCTCTAAGTTTTGTTTTTTTTCATAACCCTGTGTCTATTTGCGACTTTAATCGGCTGCAGTGCATCTCCCACACGTGGATCTATGTCTGTTTGATCTATTGCATCTCTGTATGGATGTATCTGAAGGTTCTTGTGTGTGTGATGGAATTACAGCTGTTCATGCATGTCTCATGCATGTCACAAGCACCTCTGCTGCAGGCGAACAAACCAGCCTCCAACACTGTTCAAAAGTAACCTCGCTGGGTTCACATGCTCTGCTGGGGCTGCCAAACCGCAGGTGTGCATGATAACAGTCCCCTGTGTTATCTCTCCCACCTGCTTCACACTCATTTCAGCTGTTGGTTTTGCTGTTGTATTATGTTGTATTCTGTCCTTGTGTATTATTGTGCCTAAATGCATTCATCTGCAGTGTATCTGTTATACTTTTACAGTTGGTGAAGCTTCACACTGTGCTAGTTCTGTGTCTATGTTAGATAACTGTTGTTTCACAGAAAGGTACAGTATGAAGTTTCACCCTTGTTTTTGTCTTCCTTCTGGACTGTAAAGATCGTGTAAAACAGGGTGAAAACTCAAGCTATTAATTCACTGAATATGTAATGTAGGTCAATGATTTTGTTATTTTTTATGAAGAAAACACCTTTATTGTTCAATGAAATACATAATTACATATTAAACCCTAAGAGTTAACCATCCAGTCAACAGTTACAACTGATTTGATTATCATGGTTTGTAGGAAATATATATATTATATTTTCTCCCAAGCATAATGGCAAATCTGTGTAGTAGGATAAAAGCAAAATGTATAGGACTTATAGGCTAGCCAGCCAAACCCAACTCGTCAGTTTCCGTAACACATAAGCACGATATCTCAGCAGTCCAGATGGTCAGTTGCACTGTCTTCCATTAACCACCCTGCTTGACCATTACCCTCCGTCCTCCCCTCCCATCAGCCCCTTCAGCCCCTCCCCAGGAGGTACACTTGCTTAGCCTCAGCTCCACCAGCATCAAGGTGAGTTGGGTGGCGCCGCCCACAGATAGCCACCATGGGGAGATAGTGTGCTACTCCCTGGCCTTCCAAGCAGTCACAGGGGAGGATGTGGAGAGGCACCACGTGTCAGGGATTGGTGCTGATGTCACCAGCTACGTGCTGGAGGACCTGGAGAAGTGGACTGAGTATTTGGTGTGGGTGAGGGCTCACACTGACGTTGGGCCCGGCCCGGAGAACCCTGCAGCCCGCATCAGAACTAAGGAAGATGGTATGTTGATGGTGTCATAGGGAGCAGCCTGGGCCTTCCGGGAAATACTAACCCTCCACTACTCACTATGCTCCTCTCCAGCTGCTGCAATTTCACAAACTATTATGTGTGATGTATGTGCAAAAACACACTTTTTACTAAAAGAAATGAGCAAGGGCGTATTTGGTTTGCTTAAATTCTCTTTTTTAAAAACATAATTAGTTTCCTAAACCTTAACCTTTAACGCTGACATTTACTACAGAACTTACCCAACACTGATTTAGTTGTTGTCATAACTGCAGAATTTAAAAGTTTCTAACTGACTCTATGTGGATAGTTTAAAAAAGACCCTTCCCAAGACTATTAGTATTAGCAGTAAGCAGTGGTTGCTAGAGCCTGGATAAATGATACACACAAGTTGTATGAGTGTTAAAGATTATGTTCGACCAGTCAGAGACATCCAGTGCTGCAACTTAGCCTGGATCCACAAAAAGGTCTACCTCTGAACTGAGGTTATGGGGTAATGGCACTGTTGCCAAGGAACTAAAACTAAAAACAAGGAAAACAAGGTGAAAAGGTTCCTGGGTGCCTTGAACAGCTCATTCTAAGGTAGTAAAAACAGAAGATAATCAATTTCTGAGAATACATTCTCCTAAATGTTTTAATTAATAAAATGCTAAAGGCTAGACCATTATCCCTAATAATTAAGTCACGTGAAGTTAGTCATTCTAGATTATTGTTCAGGGCGTGACTGTAGTCGAGTGCAAGCTTTCCTTGCTCTTTCTGAAACATATTTAATGCCTAGTCTGTATACTTGCTATACTATAATATTGCTATCTCTATATTTTGTGATGGAGTGATGTGATTGTAAGTCACAGCACAAGCTTTTCACAACATTTTGTGAGACCTTTTTGTGAGACTTTTGCCTCCACTGATCTTCTGCCTGCCCCTCTCTGCCTGTCTCTTTACCAGCATGATGACATGGTTTTAGCCTACTGGACTGCTGCCCTGCTAGGCTAAGGTGTCTGGAGAATTGCCTGAGTGGCAACATGACATGCTCTTTTTCTGTCTTCAGTCAGAT